CCCACCGGGATGTGCCCGCAGCCAAGGTACATGTCCGGGGGCTGAACCCGGGACCCTTCAGTCTGCAGGCCACGCTCTATCCACTGAGCCAAACCGGTTAGGGCAAGATTGGTACTTCTAAGGGAAACACTTACTTTCTCAGATGACAAAACCACATTCACTCAAGGGAGCATCTGCCAGTTGTGGGAAGACACAGAGGAGGGAAGAGCATCTCCTCTCAGCCCTTCTTGGGTCCTTAGAAAGAGTAACTTTGTCGCTGCCTCTTCTGCCTCCTCCTCTACACCACTGAGCAAGGGAAGCGGGCAGGGAGGGTGAGCCAGCCAACACCTCCCTTCCCCCCCAGCGGTGTGCAGCAGGTGTCAGCGAGGGGCAGATAGTCCTCTCGTAAACGCTGCATGACACCTCGCAGAGGGAGCACAGGACACTGAGATGGCGTAGAGGGGAGCGCCGCGGGTCCCAGGGAGAAAGGCCCTCACTGGGGTGTGTACGTGTGCAAATATAGCCACGTGGCTATGTTCTCCAACTCGTATCTTAGCCTCCATTTCTTGAATGTTGGCTACCTATTTAGAAAACAGGTACTTAGGAAGGAAGCCCATAATGTTTTCCAAAAAAATTTAAGATGTTTTGTTTCCAAAATGTGTATTATGCTCAACCTTTAAAGAACATGCATCTCCTAAGCACGCATGATGACCCTGCGTTCCTGGTGTCATCCACACGGTCTGCCCTGTGTGCGGGGTGGTGATGGACACGTTTGTGCATGGAGAAGGAACTCTGGAGATGTAATTTACTATTTGACTTGGCTGAAAGGTCACGTTACCGAAAATCTTCCTTGGGCTCTATTGTGGAGTCTCCCCTGAGACTTGTGCCCTTTGGGTAATGGACACCCCTTCCTGTGCTTCAGAAAGACGGTCTTCCTTCCGAACTGACCGAGAAGACGCCTGTCTTTATTTCCAGAATTTTAGCAGCAGAAGGCTCAGGTTAGGTTCGGTCTCCCGAGTCTGTCCGTGGAGGAAGCCTGCGACCATCTGAGGTGTTCCGCACAAAGCCTCCACTTCCTGAAGAAAACGGGACTTGGGACCCAGGTTTCTGAGATTAGGAATCTGGGTTGTTTGTGTTTGCGGTCACTGGTGGGTCATTGTGCTGATGTCAGCGTGTTCAGTCTGGGTTTCGAGAATAAATCAGGTGTTTGCATGAAGAAGCTGATCCCGAAACCGACAGAAACAAACTGTGTTCTCAGTTTCCAAGGCTAACCTGGTTCACAAGCAAAAGGCACCCTGGCTGCTCTAGGCTGACTTTAACCCTCAAGTGTATGTAGAATTGGCACACTGAAATGGATATATAATTGTGCTATCAATCTTTTGGTTTCAAATTTCTAATTGGTTGGGGCTAAATCTGGATAAAATTTTCACATCACAAATTGTGTAGAGTGAAATCTTAACAGTTGAGGTTATATTAGTGTTTATGTTTTTATCAGAAATTAGAAAAACTCCCAGGTGCTGTGAAGTGGACTGAGTCAGCTTCCTGATTGAAGTATCTGAATATGACTGGTAGTGGATTATCCCTTCCTGTCCTCACTGGACTGAATTCCATGGCTTCCAGAGTACTGTCACCCCCTGCTGGCCAGTCCTGGAACCACAGTCTCATAACCAAGAGGTGTGGGGAGACCACAGGTGGAGGAGCAGGTACAGTGCAGAGTGGTGAATTCTGCAGATGTCAGGAGAGAATTCTCTGGGAGCCCAGGTCTCCCAGCCTCTGATGTGGCGAAGGCTGTGCAGAACAGAGGGCATATGCCTCCTCTTAGGGCTGGAAGAGATTTTCTCGTACACGAACCCGGAGGTGGTGGAAGGTCAGCAGGCAGGTTGTCCCAGCAACAGGCAGCGCTGCGTGAGGGTGGGCAGGTCAGCAGGCAGCACTGCGTGAGGGTGGGGCTGTGTTTGGATGGTGTGAGGGTGGAGGACTCACAGGGCACAGGGCCACTAAGATGGGCTGGGTCAGGCCGAGGAGGGTCTGTGCGCTGGGTTAAGACGCTGAGACTGTCTCCAGAGGCCTGACCACGTGCTTCTCGCTTTCCTCTGGAAAACGGGTCACCATGAAGACAGGGTTCCAGGTAAATACAGTTAAGGTTGAATTTCAGATAGATAATGAACAATTTTTAGTAGAAGTCTATCCATACTAGTGCATTATTCATTGTTTATCTGCAGTTCAAATTTAAATAGGCATCCTGTGTTTTATTTGCTACATCTGGCCACCTTAAAAGATCATCATAGAGCAGAATGTATTCATCTGATGAAGTCTTACCCTTAGAGGTTATTAAACCAACCATAGGTTGAACATTAATTAAAGCAAAGAAGTAACCAAAATTATGGTGTTAAAGCAAAGATACAAGAATTGTAAACTTCTGTACTGACTTAAGATTAAGTTATGCTCTTAACTTGTAAAGCGGGTGTAAAATGCTGTATGCTCTCACTCTGCAGGAGGCTGGTCTTCCTGCAGATGCCCACAGTACTGTGTCCGAGCCCCGGCTGATTACGCGAGTAGTCCAGCTGTAGTAGAAGCTGAAGTACAGTAACGGTTTTGCTCATCTTGGAGTAATGACGCACCTTGTGGGCATGATTGACATACTTGTCTCTTTAAAAAAACTTTCAGAGGATTTTGCTTGGTCCCTTTCCCTCCCGAGACTTCCCTGTAGCAAGTAGAAGATGAAAGCATTTTGGTGCAAAGCGTGTGCATGTGTGTGTTTGAAATTCTATTCCCAGGAATTCAGGGCCTGGAGAACAAGCATCCTGAGAGTCTGTCTTTGGTATTTTCTCCCTTCTGGTCCCTGCTTCCCGCAATGTGTGCCGGGTGATGTGCTGGGGCCGACTGAGTCTTGAGCTTGGAGTCTCAGCCAGTGGCCAGTCCTTGTTGCTGGGGATGGCTGGGGCGCTGTGGCGGATGTGCCAGGCTGTGTGGATAGGGGCCTGGGGTTTCCCAGCGGTCCAGCCATGACCCACCGGCCTGCCTCTGGGAATCCTGCTCCCTGGACAGCTGACCTCTGGCTGCCTGGGCCTGTGAGGCTGGGCAGGGTGGGCTGGACCAAGCAGGGACGCCTACACCCAAGGGGCAGGGGCTTCAGGAAGTTGAGAGGGTGATTCCTGGCCTCAATTTGAGCTGTAGAGCATCCCCCTGCTGTCACCAGGCTTTCAGAGTTGCCCTCGCCCATGTCTGGGGTGCTCCTGGTTTTCCAGGGACCCTATGTTGTAGGCCTCTTCCTTTCAATCATGTAGTATAAGAAGTTAATTTTATCACTTAGACTCAGTCAACGATTTACCTAAAAACAACAAGCACCCTTCCTCCTGTAAAACAAAATGAAACCAGAACTTCTACTAAAGAACTTAGACCAGTGGTTCTCAACCTTCTGGCCCTTTAAATACAGTTCCTCATGTTGAGACCCAACCATAAAATTATTTTCGTTGCTACTTCATAACTGTAATGTTGCTACTGTTATGAATCGTAATGTAAATATCTGATATGCAGGATGGTCTTAGGCGACCCCTGTGAAAGGATCGTTCGACCGCCAAAGGGGTCGGAACCCACAGGTTGAGAACCGCTGACTTAGACTCATTATTGATAACAGCTGTGGGATTTCAGCCGTGTGTTTTGGTGAGAGCTCACAGGGCAGTCATCCTAGGTCAGTGGTCGGCAAACTCATTAGTCAAGAGCCGAATATCAGCAGTACTTCTTCAAAATAGACTCGCCCAGGCTAAAAACCGACGTCTGCGCATGGGCCACGAAGTTTCAATCGCACTGTACACGCGCCTGCACGTGGTATTTTGTTGAGGAGCCACACTCAAGGGGCCAAAGAGCCGCATGTGGCTCATGAGCCGCAGTTTGCCGACCACGGTCCTAGGTCACAGGATGTGCGGGAAGAGGCATGTTTCCTTGGGAATCAAATATCCCCCGTCTTCAGGAAGCTGATGTACAGAAACAGTAATGGGCGGGTTTGTGTTCCTCACTGTTCATGGGGACACAGAAGTGTACCCTGAGTCTCCATGCTGTAACCTATAGCATTTACAAAGCAATAGACTGCACTTCCTCACAGCCGCTCTGTATTTCTGGTAACTAACAAGGTCAGACACTGATTCCTGGAAAGTGCTGTGAGTCATGCCACGTTGGTTCTCTCTGAGTAGAAATCTGATATTTCCCTTCCAATGCCAGCATTTAAATGACTTATCTAACCATGGGCTCCATTCAGATGGGTCCTGCGGTCAGGTCAGCAGCACAGAGCGAGTCCGCCTTGCGCTGTGTTGTGGGAGCAGGTGTGTCCAGGACACCTCCCCTGGTGCAGCCACCATAGGCGGCGGTGAGTGGGCCCCGCCGAGCTCCGGTGGAGCCCAGGGTGTTTATGGAGCCATCCCTGCTGCCCCCTCAGAGACCACTTGGAGGGTCTGTCTGCTTATGCCTGCCTACCCCCCTCACTCACTGTCCCTGGCTGCCAGACCTCTCGCTTCAGACGGTAGTGTCACCCCAAATACACCCAGATCATTCACTGGGTCTTTGAAACGTCACATGAGGTGTGGAACAGGGCTTCAGAGGAGGGCTGTACGTACATGGATGAGGCTGAGTAGATGCACCCCCCCCCCCCCATGCAGGGTGACACAGGGGTGGCATCCTCATCGTGGGAGGCCTGTTGTCTGTATTTGATGTGGGAGCACATTTCCTGGTCTGTTTTTCTGACTGTAGGCATGTCTGTCTCCCCTGTAGGACTGGTAGCCATAAAGGACGCCCATGACATAGAGACCAGGCTCAACGAGGTGGAGAAGTTGCTGAAGACCATCATAAGCATGCCATGTAAGGTGAGTGGGTCAGGTCCGGCTGGGCGGGACGGTGGCACATCCCAGCAGCGTCCACAGAGCTGGCCTGCTGGCTCCCTGGCCACCTGCCCTCCCTGGAAGTGTCAGGCCATAGGGAGGCCAGTGGGTCGACCTGGGAAAGAAAGACTTTGATGAGCTCCGGTGGCTCCATTGTTTCCTCCCTGGGCAGGTGGGAGCCAGGGGCCAAAGAGGCGTTGAGTAGGAAGGGAAGGGGCCCTCCGCTACAGTGGTCCTTGCTTTCCTGCTTCCATGCAGAAGCCCCTGGTCTGGCTGAGGGTGTCTGAGAAGAGGCGTGAGGAGCCCGAGGGAGTGTTGGCCTCAGCAGCGGCAGGCGGATAAGCAGCTTGCAGGCCTGGGTGCTGCGGTGATGAGGAACCGCCTGGGTCAGGCGACCACCTTACTCCTGCAGGCTGTTGCCTGCCTCCTCCGTGGGCGCTCATAGTTGACTGTGAAGTGAAGGGAGCTGTGGGGAAACGCTGGCCATGCAGCACTGAGAAAAGCTAGCCAGCTTCTGTCACCCCGTCCTGCCTGTCCCAGGGCCCTGTTGTTTAGCCATGTGTCCATAAATAAACGAGGTCAGCGATTTCAGCCTCTTCCGCACGGTCGGTCCTGCGGGCTGTCTGAACAGCTCTGGGTAGCACTAGATGGGGCCACCTTGTAGAGGATTAATTTTAGTAATTAACCCATTTCTCCCCAGTATTCTAGGTCAGAAGTCGTGCTCACCTTCTTTGAAAGATCTCCTCTGGATCAGGTGCTAAAAAATGACAGTGTGCATAAAATTCAACCCAGCTTTCAAAGTCCAGTGAAAATTTCAGGTAAGAGCTACAGGGAAGGCCTGGGGGAAATGCCGCAGGGGTTTCTAGGAGCTTTTCAGTGTGGTGCCTGCATGGCTGCACCCCCCCCCCCCCCCCCCCCGGGCTCTGGAAAGACAGCCCAACAGATGGTGAGCATCTTGGGTGAGAGGCTGCTACCAGATCCCTATGAACAGTGTGTTTTCTGACCCAGAGTTCACACTCCCCCTCCGTCCTAAGGGAGTTACTTGGCATATAAATTGGAGCTTAAGAAGTAGTATAATGATGAAAACATCAGTGAGGCATTTCTGAAGCAACCTTCTGGAGCCAGGAGTCTAGCTTGCTGAAAAAGATAGTGCACATAATGTGGCATTGAATTGTTCTTAGTCTGGGCAGCCGTGGCCAAAGGGGAACACGCCGTCTAGGTATTGTTAGCATTGATAAATTAAAACATTAGCAAAAGAGGCAAGGTCGGCCGCTGTAAGTAGTTGTGCACTGAGCAGAGCGCTGGCCAGCTCACCTGTGGAGTCACATGAAAGGAAGGGGGCCCCGGACTTCACCCTTCGTGGTGGCTTTCTAAGCTCTGGTTGCCCGTGTCGTTAGAACACTGTTGCTTTCTGCAGTGCTGTCTGTGAAGGCCGCTGAGGGTCTCAGGCAGGCACCGGCTTCCCCAGGCAACAGGCAGTCCACTTGTTTTGGCCTAAGAAGTAGCGTTTGCGTGGAGTCCTGCAGGGTCTGCCAGGTGGGAAGGGAGGGAAGGCAGCGGGCTGCAGGCTAACCCTGAGGGCCTGCAGAGCATCCTGGTCTGTAGGAGGCAGAGGAGGGATTCTGGAGGAGGAAGGAAGAGGAGGAATGGAGGAGCAGCCTCTAGAGGAAGTAGATGGGAGGGGAGAAGAGCCCAGACCCAGCTCCTAAGAAGAAATTGGTGGTCGTGGTGAAGGGGAGACCGAGGAGGCCAACCCAGAGGATGTCACTGGTGGAAAAGTGTCCTTGTTGAGTTCTGTGCCACAGCGGGAACCAGAGTCCTCATTGTGTGTTGGTGAAGTGGGCAGGGTGGGTGAGGTCTGGGAACCTGGGATGGAGAAGGTAGTTCCAGGTATGACTGTGTGAGGATGAGTGGGAAGCCTGGGTTAGTCTGTCTGCTGCTTTTGATGTCTATACAGCTTCCTGTGTATTCGTGGCAAGAGAGCAGGGGTCAGAGCCCTCCTCCTTCGTAGTAGAGTGAAGGTGGCTGTCGTTTATCCTGGTGGGTGTCTGTGGGCTCCAGGCTTGGAGGCTCGGAGGGCTCCGGGACCAGATAGCCAGTCCTGCTGGTTGCATGCTGCCCGCTAGAGCGGGGCAAGCTCTGTCCTTAGTACGCGGTGGTGTCCCAGCACTGGTGTCCCTGCTCTGCTTCAGTTCTTTTGTGTTGAGCAAGTGGGAGAGCAAAGAGCAGCACAGTCCTTTCAGGGCCGGTGTTGGTACAAGAGCCGGTGTGCTTCAGGTTGGCCCCACGTGGAGAAGGACAGACTTGGGCCGTGTGGCATTGCCTCTGAGTACCTCCCAGAGTGCGACCGCATGGAACATCCCAGCCCTCTGAGTGGCCTGTCTTATCGGTGACAGTGACGGGTAAATGGAAGGCCACGTCTGCCCTAAGGAGTTGAGAGGACTGAGATGAAGGGATGGCGGTAGAGCCCCATGCTGATGTTTTAAGTATGTTCTCCCTGCTTTTTCAAGAGGACTGAGGACAGAGGTTTTGGCTTGCCCTGTGTGTGAGCCTCAGTGAGGCCTTGCGTGGGTGACCAGGGACACGGTGTCCAGGTCTAGGGAGGCAGGGTGCTGACCTCCTCCTGCCAGCTGGGAGCCCAGGTGGGGGGTATGCTCTGCCCTGGGGACAAAGCAGTCACTACCCCCCAGTGTTGGCTCTGCACAAAACACTTCATAATAAACGGGGCTTCCAAAAACTGGAGTTTGTAAACATCTACTGCGCGTCGGTCCCCGAAATCCTCCAGCCAGGGGCCTGTCCAAGGAACCCGTGCGCGAGGTGGCAGGCTGGGAGCACCAATAGAACCCTTCCTGAGCCGAGTCTCTGGCAAGAAGGGGTGTCCTCCTCTTCTGCCCTCATCAATGGAGCCCAAAGTCTGGGAGTCTCCCTTTGAAGCTTCCCAGCATAGACTAGCGTGTAGGTATGCCGGCCTGGGGGTGTTCCACGGAGGTGGGGTGCACGCTTATTGCTCACTGCTCGAGGAGATAAATATACGAAGACAAGGCACTGTGGTAAATTAGGAGACACTTTTCACTGAAACTGGGGTTTGCGGTGGCACCGACATCCCTTTGAAGAATGAGTGCACATGTTTGCCAGTGGTGCCTTTCAGTCTCCATCCCCTATTCTGGGGTTGCTGCATTTGGGGGTCCCCCAGGCCTGAACATCCATCCACAAGTGTCTCTGTCAGCCTCACCCTGTCCCTGGTTTATAGCCTGGATGCTGACTGGTCATCCCACAACTCTGGCTCCCTGAGCTCAGTAATTTCTCAGAACCTGGCATCCACAATAAAACCCAAGCCCCCCAGTCATTCTAGACATGTCAGAGTCTGGCTGGCTCCAGCTTTCTGATTTTGTCACCACAGCACCCTCTGCTGCAGACCCTCCGCTGCTTCCTGGCTGGGCTTCGCTCGTGCTGTGTCTGCCCCTCCACGTCCACTCCTGTCCTGCTAAATTCCGTTCATTCGGCAAAATGCCCTCACTTGCTGCGACTCACCCAGCCCCTCCTCCTCCTCTCCCCGGAGATTTCCTAGTGCCTTCTCATGCCATTGACATGGCATTTAGGGAGGAGGTGCCCTGGGAACGGGCACTGGCCTCGCTGGCTGTGAGAGGCTGTTCTTCACACTGGCGACTTAGGTGCATCAGGCCTCTGCAGGCACAGCCTCCTCTCTCATTTTCAGATTGTGCAGTGGCCACGGGCCCCACTAGGTGGCGCCAGGCCCTGGTGATGCAAGAACTGAGCCAAGTCCTGGGCCCACAACAAGGGCAGTGGATTCTCTGGTGATGCTTTGGGTCAGTACAGCCTCAAACAGTCCTCAACCCATGTTAATCTAACTACTATCAAACATAAGAAAGATAGAATATGTGAATTAATGAACTGAAGGACTGATAGCATATGGAGCGCTGGAAACCATGGCTGCAGTTAAAAAAAGAAAAATCATTACCACAGTAGTAATTACTGCAGAAAAGATCCATTAATAGCTGCTAAGATTAGTGGCAAAAGTTTCAGGAGAAATAGGATTTGCAGAATCTGGATGCATCTCCCTAAAGGCATTTCTTAACCACAGGGAAATATAGTAACCTTTGGGGAAACTGGCAGAAGCCTCCTTACCCAGGTGATCCAGGCCCACATCCCAGGAGTGCAGCCAGTGACATCACACACCCAGTGCTCTTTGGGGAAACTGGCAGAAGCCTCCTTACCCAGGTGATCCAGGCCCACATCCCAGGAGTGCAGCCAGTGACATCACACCCCCAGGGCTCCTGCTAGAGCGAACACTGTGGTCAGAGCTCATGGAAGCATCAGACACTTTGAGGGACGTCGGTAAAATAACTCACCAGTCTCTTCAAAAGTGTCCCAGTCATCAGAAATGAGAATTTACTGAGGAACTGCCAGAGGTCATAGGAGATGAGGACACAACCGCTTAATGCAGCAAGGAGTCCTGCATTGGGTCTGAAACCACAAAAGGCTGGTCAAACTCAAGGGAGGGAGATGCTCCGTCAACAGACCTGTGCCACGGTTGGTAATTCCCTGCGGTTGGTAATCCTACCATAGTTACGTAAAAGGTCAACGTTAGGAGAAGCTGGTGAGGGATATGTGAGAACTCTGTACTGGTTTCACAACTTTTTTATAATTCTAAAATTAGCTAAAAAATGTTGACAAAAATAAAAAATGACAAAGCAAGACTCTACTTGACGTGAAAAAATGTAGCTCGAGAATGCACCATTCCATAGAATCAGTCATGTATGTGATTAAATTGGCCAGTGATTTTTTTTACTATAGGTATTAAGCTGACTTCTAAGAAATTAAAATGCTGTAATTTTTCTGAAGTCACAACACTGCTTTTGTTTCTTTTTATTTGCATGACACAGAATATATGAAGACATTAGCAACCACAGTAATAACTACCATTCCTCAAGCACCAGGTGCTTATTCTGTCTTTACAAATGCCACCTCATTTAATCTGTACTTGTGCCCTTTGGGGTGGATACTGTTGTTCCCATTTTACAGAAGAAGAAACTGACTGAGCAAGAAGTAACCTGCTCCCCAGGCAAAAGTAACAGAACTGGAGTTTCCTCAAGCGCCCAGGTGGCCTTGTGAATAATTAAACCACATACATTCCTATGCACAAAGGCTGAGCACAGGCAGCTAAGGAATGGTTTGCTACATGTCTATTTTGAGGGGGCTGGTCAAGATTCCATTTTTTAGAGCTTCAAGTTTCACATTTAAGAAAAATTAGGAAGCCCTAGCCGATTTGGCTCAGTGGATAGAGCATCAGCCTGCGGACAAAAGGGTCCCGGGTTTGATTCCAGTCAAGAGCATGTACCTCGGTTGCAGGCTCCTCCCCAGCCTGGGCCCTGGTCGGGACTTGTGTAGGAGGCAACCCAATGTGTTTTTCTCACATCGATGTTTCTGTCTCACCCTCTCTCTTCCACTCTCCCTAAAAAGTCAATGGAAAAATATCCTCGGGTGAGGATTAACAACAACAACAAAACACAACAACAAGAAAGATTAGGAAGTTCCTCTACAAGGTATTTCCTCGGAATGTTCAGAAATGTTTGAGGCACTGACGTTTGTTTTCACTTGTAAGGTTCCCCCCAACCCCCTTGGCTGGGGTGGGGTGCAGAAAGGTGCTGGGGCCATCTGTTGACTGTGCTGACGTCACTCTGAGGTCTTCTGTGCTTCTTGGGAGAGACAGATTTGGGACAAACTTAATGAAAGCAGCTAAAGAAAGTGTTTGTTTTTTATTGTTTTCATTAGGGCTCCCATATGTTTGAAATTGAGAGGGGAGGGAATCTTAGTCTTTCTGGTTAAGAGTTAGTCATCTTCAGAGTCACTCAGACTCCGGTAAACATCTTCTTGCACCTTCTCACACCTCTGAAGGGAATTGACCCTGGAGGTTCCCAGCGCCCATGTCTGTTGGTCTTCGCTCCTCCTCAGGACTTGCAGGCTCTCTCGCTGGTTCTCATGCAGGGAAGGTGGCAGCTCTGCTGGGCCCCACCTAACGTCACTGGGAGTGGGACTGGCTGAGCTGATGTTGGGAAAACCTGTGAAATTTGAGCTGTCACCTCTCCAGAAAGCCATGTGGGAATTTTAGCAACTAATTACTTGGCAAATCTGCACAACGAGTTGTCATTTTAATCCTGTAGGGATGAGGAGGAAACCTTACATTTTTCTTCATTTTTGTATAGTTTCCCTAATTCTCTTCATATGGAGAGAAATTTAACAAATTGAAAACCAAATACCTAGAAAGATTAAAAATAAGCATCCACTTATAAAAAGCAAATCCATGCGTGGGAATAAAACAATCTAAGTTATGGTCAGATGTAAGAAAAAATAAATCTCCCAAACAACAATGCGCCGGGTGCCCAGTGAGCTGGGTGCCCCCGCTGCCAGGGGAGGGGGGCCATTTGGAGCTGTGTGTCTGTGTGTGAGGCCCTGACTGGGAAGATGGTAATCCTTTGGAAAACCCTTTGAGAATGCACCAGGAACTTTCCAGTTGAGGGTACTGAGTCCCCAGATCATAGAACCCCCGGCTGGTCTGAGCCCCAGTGGTGCTGTAACAGCTACCACACCCTCAGGCACCGCCATTCCACCACTTCCAGTGCCTGACAGGCCAAGTCCTGTGCCCTCAGAAAGCTAACACCACAGAGCCAACAAGACATATGAAGACTTTTTCTTTGTGGGCCTTTTTACATTATCAAAGTTTGTGCTTGTTAGTAAAAAGTCAATTTACATGGCAGAATGAGAGAAAGTGAAAAGTGAAGTTGCCCATTTGGTTTAAGACACACACTGATCTCATTTGATCCATGTGGCAGCCCCCGGGGGTGGGGGTGGGGGGCCCGAAGGTGCTGTCCTGCCTGACAGATGGGAGCTTAGAGCCCTGCAGAGCCGTGCAGTGTGCCGCGGACGAGACCAGGACTCAAACCAGACTGACAGATGTGGGCTCAATGCTCCTTCTGCCCCAGCTTCAAACGCATGGGGAGGGTGCCTGGGAGAGAGCTCAGACATTCCCGGGGGAGAGAGGCGCCTCCCGCTTGCACAGGCCGGCAGGTATGGCTCCCGTGAAGGCTGCGCCAGCCCCTGAATCGTATGCAGGACTCCAGGGTTGGCTCCAGCTACACCTGTGGGTGCAGAGTGTTCCCCTAAAGTGTGGGGGAGACAGGGCAGCAGGTGGAGGGGGGAGTCTGCAGATTGGTGTAAGCCCCAAACTTTAAAATTTCAAAACCCGACCCGACCTGAATATTTACCTGTTGCTTTCATTTTCAGAGATCATGCGGTCCAACGGGTTTTGTTTAGCAAATACGGAAACTATCGTTATCGACCACAGTGTACCCAACGGGAAAGAGCAGCACCTGGGTGTGGATCCCGCAGAGCATTTGTGAGTACGCTGGTCTGCATGTCATTTCACAGATGGGATCCTGGAGCGGGTGGCTAGGGCGGACTGGGTTCACCCCGTGCGGAGCTCTATAGGCAGGAACTACCCGTGGCCACAAACACCAAGCCATCCTGCCTGTATTTGGACACTTATTTAGAGAGTTTGCCTTTTCTAGAGGACATAAGACCGTGGTCATAAACCTGTGGGGACACAGTTCCTTCGCCCTAATGGCTGGCTAAGTGGCCAAGCTTCAGGGTCTGGTCTGTGCTGGGCCCTGAGGGGGCACAGGGCCCAGAGCCTCCTTGGTGCCAGGCCTGGTCTCCTGGGATGGGGCAAAGCGGCACCTGCACCTCGGCCTCACGTTGCAGGGCTAGACATTCTCCAGACGCCTGGGTGCCGGGGCCTGGCCCGGGGGCTGCCCTGAGGAGGGGGAGGATGAGTGACTGGTGAAGGTGGGACAGCCAGAAACACCACTTCCCCGTTCTTCCTCTCTTTTAGCAGAACTTTGGCCGTGAGTGCCCCGGGGAAGCTGGCACTGGGCCCCCGTGAGGCACAGCCGCCTTCTCCTCGGGAATTATCAGACAGCAGCTTCAGGGATTCATAGTGTGGCTTCTGTGGACTGTCAGCACAATAAGGGTTGTGTGGGTGTCAGGAAATGATTTAGCCTCTCCTGGCGCCTCTGAATCTTTAAAGCAGGACCACTGTGTTCTCCAGCTTCCACTGTGCAGACCTCAGGTCCCAAGGGTGGCACTCCTGGCTCAGGAGCCCCGAGGCAGCGCTGGGTGTGCAGTCTCCCTGTGGGCAGAGGAGCTGCTCAGCATGCCAGGCCCTGGCCCATCCACTCCACTGCAAACAAACATGGACTAGGGCAGATTCATGCTGAGACGCCCAGGCGAGGACTGCAGGACACAGTGTGACCCGAAGAGTGACAGCCCCGGGTCGGGGAAGCCCTGTCAGACCCATGGACGGGCTCTTTCTTAGTGTCTCAGATGTCGCTCAAGTAGGTGGCGCAAGAACCCTTCACTGTGGTGTCATGAAATGCTGGCGAGGCCGAGGGGTCCCTCCTGTAAAATGCTGCTGTCCCTTTGCACACCCAGCCCTGCCACACACGGCACGGTACCTGCTGTGTGTGTATGGAGGGCGTGTTAGTTCATGCCGTAATGCGGGGCTGGCATAGTGGAAAGCCCTCCACGGTTTGACATCGATCCTAAGTGCCCTCCTGCAGTGACCTGCTGTACTCTCACCGTCTGGGTGGCGCTGGGGGTGAGCCAGCCACAGCCCTCACCTTTGTCCTTCCTGTTTCAGGTTTGAGAATGGCAGTGAGTTCACCTCCGAGCCGGAGGACGGCGATGACCCAGCAGCTTATGACACCAACCTGTCCTATTACCACCTGGTCCCCTTTGAGACGGACATTTTGGACTGAGTCATCATGGGCCCTCCTCAGCCCTCAGCTGCTGTTCAGTGGGCCCTGTCCCACCAGGCCCCCATGCCTGCACTGACTGAGCACGGCTCTGCTGCCAGGCCCGCACCGAGACCTGGTGTTCTGTGGTGAGTGGAGTAGTGGGGTTTCTGGGGTTAGCACCGACCCCACGATCTCCAACAGCCAGGAGTCAGGCCCGGAGTCCCCGACGCCTGCTGCTGAGGAAGGCCCTCTCCCACTGCACACCCCCGGCCTGTTTCTGCATTCCTAGGACTCGCTCGCTCCCCGTGTGGAGGAGCCACAAGTGCCTGCAAGACATCACGATGCCAGGGGGCCACCCAGGGCCTTGCTGGGTTCCTCCTTGCCTGTGACTGCTTCCTGGAAGGAGCCTCCTCCTGGTGCAGGGGCCCAGGGCCAGGCGCCCCTCCCTCCTGCCATCCCCAGCACAAGCACACAGAACAACCCACGTGAGATCCTGTTGAGTCCCAAGTTCTGGGCGACACAGGCAGGGCATATTAAGTAACCAGCCTTTTCCTGCGAAGCTGGGTGTGTGGCTTCCATTTGTTTTTCACCTTTTGTCTGGAAACTGAGGGCTGGCTTTGTGTCAGCCACAGTGGGTGTTTACCGAAGGGGAACTGTGGATGGGGACAGGAACGGGGGACCATTGATCATGGGGTGCTTATGAGTTGGGGCTGAGTTAGTGATGCTGCTCAACAGGAAGAGAACCTTGCCTTGCCTGCCAGCATCTCTTCAGGGTCACAGTGCTGTGGCCACCTGGGCCCCGAGGTTTGTCTCCTGGTTACTAGCTCTCCACGATGGAACTGCCATAGTAACGTGAGGGGAGAGAGTGAGAGGAAAGCCACGCACTCGGCTTGCCCGTTTTCCTCTGCCCTCAGGGAGGGTCTGGGGTCTGCGTGCTTATCTTCTTTATTTCTTCAGTGTCTACTAAGGACCAACATCTGCTAATGTAAATAATAAATTATTGAAAATCCTAATTATTTTACACAGTCTGTTTTTAAATCTATTTTAATGAAATAAAATATATTACTCTCCTTTTCTGGATGTCGTGTTTGTGTATGAAGGTATGCCTCCTCGTATTCCCTCCGGGGAGGGGTGGAAGCCAAACCCTGCCCTCAGGCTGGTCCTGAGCCCCGCCCCTCGTCGTTTGAGCAAGGTGTTTGGTTGGTCGTGGAGGGTTTTCCTCTTCTCCGTGTTCCTCGTTGGAACGTGTTCTGTGGCCCAGGAAACCTGTTCTGTGGCCCAGCTGCACACGCGGGATCTCCCTTCTGCCTTCCAGCTGTGCTCAGTTTACTGCACCCTCCTTTCAGGGGGCTGTTAGGTGGCTGATGGGGGTTGACCAGTTGCCTTTCTTCCCTTGAGGGTAAAATTCACTTCTCTCCAAGGATAGGGCTGGTTGCTTAGCGGTTAAGGTTAGAATCTATCACCAAAGAAGTGAAAACATATGCCCACACCAAGACTCAAAAAACCAATTTGCTCATGTATCATCCAGTGGATATTTCTGGAATGCCTGTATGCTGAAGGGGCACTCACACTGGAAACCGAGGCTGCCTGGTGAACAGGGTGGGTAGGTGTGATCCCATGCTCTGGAATTACAGTGAGCTGTGAGACGCACCTTACACTCTCAGGAGCAGCAAAACCAAAGCCATGTATCAAAAGGCTCCACTGTGAAACAGGCGGGAGGTGTCCACAGGAAGCCACCGCAGAGCTCTGGCACTCAAATCCACACTTTGCAGGGACTCCCAGAGTTGCATCCCAGCGGACAGGCCACACACTGCGAGGGTTTAATCTTCTGGAAAAAAAGAGAAAAAGAATATTTGTAACAGTAATATATTGCTGAAGAGTGCCTCCATGTTTACTTCTGGTTATGTGCTTTCTCCTCTGTGAACACAATAGGATCTTAGTGTTCTCAGAGAATAGCATGCCTTGCCTGTCTCCCTTCATGGTTGCCATTGTGTTATCGGAGAATAACACACTCTCCTGCTCCCCGCCCTCTCAGAGGGAACAGCCCTGGTGCACACCCACAGCCACACCTCCATGTGCTCAGGGACCCGGGAGATTCGGCTGCCACTCAGATGCAGAAGGAAAGCAGGCCCACCTGGAAGGACGTGGGAACACAGACGAGGTCCAGGTTCTCCTGCTTCACTCTCTCAGCTGTGGAGAGAGAAGCCATGTCGGTGGGTCTTCACTCTCACTTCACTTTTCTTGTCTTGGACACATTTGCTCAAATCCAACAGAAAAGGAAAGTCTGCCTTTCATACCATGTCCCCCCCTTTTTGACGAAGTTGATGAACATACCTCACACATCACACGACGGGGCAGTAGAAAGCCTAAGGCGGTGAGTACTAACTATGGAAGAGCAACGCCAGTGTCTGCTATTATGTGCCTGGCAATAGTCAAGGAACTGTGTACCTGGGAACTCTTAATCCTAAAGGTCAGTTATAACCCCAAGGAAAGGAACAATTATTACCTCCATTTTACAGAAGAGGAGACTGAGGCACAGAGAGGTAGAGGGTCTGGGTAGTTACACAGCTAACAAGGGGCAGAACTGGAACATGACCCCTGGCAGTCTGGCTTCAGTGTTAAATACTCCCTATGCTGCCTTTTACAGGGAAAAGCTAGAGGTCAATTTTCACATTTAATACAAAATATAATATCATTTGTAGACCCCGGAGGGTTGTTAGAGTGGGCTTATTCATGCATTCAGGGATTGCGCCCTTCAGGAAAACTTGATTTTTTAAAAAGGTCTTAAGAAAAACACTGTCTTGTTAAAATTTAAGTCAAATACATATTTCAGAGGGAAAGGGAGAGGGAGGGAGAGAGATAGAAACATCAATGATGAGAATCATCATTGATCTGCTGCCTCCTGCATTCCCCCAACTGGGGACTGAGCCTGCAACTGGGGCATGTGCCCTGACCTGGAATCGAACCGTGATTTCCTGGTTTACAGGTCGACACTCCACCACCATGCCACACGGGCTGGGAGAAATTTAAGTCTTTTTCATTACTTGGTTGCATCTTGTGAGGTTTAGATGTCACTATTACGAAACCCACAGTTAATTCTTGAACTTAAAGTCCTCCACACACTCAGTGCTAAGGCACAAGGATGTACAACGTTACAGCCCCTGTTCGGCCCATGAGGCAGCTTCCAGAAGCCAACACACCAGCACCACAGCCACTCCTTAAAGACAGAGTGGTGCTGGACTCTGCCTCCTGAGCACTTTGCCCCTGGAACTACAAGAGGCCAGCACTCTAGCAAGCCTCTCCTCTGGGCTTGTTCTTACAAACAAAAGCAGGGAAGTAAAACAAGTGGTCAAGCCTACACTGACCTTAATTTGTTTCCCTGAGATTGTCTGAGGGTCAGAGAGCTTGCCTCAGGGTCCCTGAGACCACACACACACACACACACACACACACACACACACACACACACGCAATGAGGATAAAATTCTGTTGAGACCTCACCTAAGTTGGCTCCTCCCTTCCAGCTGAGAAGAGTAAACAAAGATAGGGTAACCCCCAAAGATGGATGGATAGAAGGATCTCTTTCTAAGGGAAGAACAGATACACTCAGATGATCTCAGGCAAGCAGCCCCTCTTCCCAGCTCCTTGTGGCTGGAGACCAATCGGCACATGCAAAACCTCTGCTCCCCACCCTTTTACCTCCCCACACCCAGCGCACCACACAAAACACCCCAGAGACAGCTCAAGAACATGTCTATTCACTGCACATATGGACAATTGTAGAACTACTTCCAATTCCCAGCATTTGGCCATTCTGTCTGAAAAGGGGAGGAGAAATAGCCAAACCTTATCAATACCATCTTTTAGTCCCTCTTCAGCCGCCTCCTAGAGCTGCAAGACTGTTATGAACAGTTCACCAACCAGGGTGCAAGGCAAGCACTGCGCCCATTTTACAGGAACAAACCTCCGAACCGCAAAGCGGGTCTTTATTACAGTGCCAGGGGCAGTTTATCAGCACAGCCCTCCTCCTGCCATCCGACCCTGGCGTCACCATCTCCTCCTGATGAGATACACTGGGCAAGTTTACAAATGTTAGGCGCTTATTTGAGCAAAAACGGATTCAAATTGTGCAGCATCCAAACTAGCAGACAGAAAGGAGCTTCACGGAGCTGTCCAAAAGGAAAGACTTTCACACACTTTCCTCTGAGGGGTGGCAGGGTCTGCCAGTCAGATGACCCCGCTATTACTCAGGTGATTCCTGAAAGACTTAGATTCCATTTCTGGGAGAGCCAAACTGTGAGTCCTGGTTTGGTGATGTGGGGTTTAGCATATGCGACTCCATTTTTGGCCTGTTGTCTAATATGTAACACTCCCTCCATCCTATCCAACAAAAGGCTTGGACTTCCAGATACTGTAAGATTAATTTTTAAACTGACTTACAGCATGTAGACACAGCCCTTGTGATAGGCCAGGTGTTCCCACCATTTTTCAAATAGCAATTCTTTAACGCAACCACAGAGAGGGTATGTTTTTTATTATTGCCAAGTGTCTGATGGGAAAACTGAGGCACAAATACCACTGCTCTCAAGCCTTGCACCTGTAAGTACAAACATTAACACCTCACAACTCCTGTGGAGCAGGCATCTGGGCACGGTTGGGCTGGGTTCCTCTGCCCCAAGGTCACTGAAGCAGATGTGTTTCAACTGAGGCTCCACTAGGGACAGATTTCCCCCCAGGTTTGTGCCAGGATCCAGGTTAGACAGAGGAGAGCTCTAGCTCCTGCCTGGTGGCCTGGGCACTCCCTTGGTTCTCTCCAATGAGGTCTCTACATAGGGCAGCTCAAAACATGGGCGCTTGCTCTCCCCTTTCCACGGATGATAGACAGACACACACAGAGACACAGTTATCTCATCCATACCTGATGAGGTCCTTAGGAAATGGTATCTAGCATCACTCTCATTGTGTAGGTTGGGAGACTCAGGAGGCCCTGAGAGGCACAAAGTCTTTCCCAGGGCACAGAACTGATAAGAAAAAGGAGGTGTGAACTCAGCTTTCTCCTCCAAGCCTGGGACCTGGGACATTCCCAGGGAGCTGGTGGAGGGCTGTTAGGTATCTGTGTACAGGTATGGAGTTGGCATGGGTGAGGAGGGTGAATGGTCAACAGCCAGAGGGGGCTTTGGGTGGTTCTGATTAGAGGAAGGGGCCCAGGTCACGGAACCTTGAGGGGTGACCTCGCTTCCTCGGTGACAGACTGACCAACAGAAATGAGAAGTCTGGTAATGAGGAACCCACATTCTAGCTCACTCGACTGGAGACAGTCAGGAGAGTAGGATGTTTCTCTGTTGCTTCCCAACTTTGCAGGGCTCTGGGCAGAAGAGAGCCCAGAGTGAGAGATGTTTCTGTTGCTGTAGACTTTGACGCAAACACTACCATGATGCCTCTTGCCCTTTGGCAAGAGGCAGCCTCAGGTAACCGAGGGCAACCCAGAGCAGGCCCATCCAGGCCAGGCCCCAACTGGGACCCCACTTGGCCAGCCCAAGACACCCTTTACCCCTCATTCTGAATGTGTGTGTGTGTGTGTGTGTGTGTGTGTGTGTGTGTGTTGGGGTTGGTGAGGGAAAGTGGGGGGTGAGGGGCACTCATCCTGGGCAGGAGCTGGTTGTTGGAAGCCTGGTTGGTCTGTCATGTTCATACCCCCAAGTCATGGCTGGTGGGATGGAAACAAGAGTTCTGGGGACCAAGCTCCTCTACACACTTGCTAACCTTGAGCCAACAGGAACAAACAGGACTTAGCATATAACCCACCCCAATAATCTTACACAAGTGAGTAAAGAAATCCACGTCACAAAGTGCTAGAGGACAACATGGCCTTAGATGGAGCAAAGGATACCCCCCGGAGGGAGAGAGTAATTAAGTATATGCCAATTAAGTACATGGATATGCTCAATAAATGTGTGGATTTTAATTAGTTATACCACTTGCAAAGTATCCAGGATCCTACTTGCAAAGTATC